TGTGGCCCTCTGAGTATAAACACGGAGGAGGGGCAGTGGCTTCCGGCCTGAAGATGGGCAGGAAGGAGTAGAAATTCCTACCTGCCTTCCGCTCCCTTCCCCACCTGCCGCCACAGCCCCTGCACTTCACAAACAGAGCACAGACGGAAGTCAGGGAGTCTTTGCAGTGACATCTGCCTCTGCCCAGGGCCTCTGCCCTCGGGAGGATCCAGGACGGGCCTTGGCTCCAGTCTTCAACCCCTGGACCCCTGGACCGCCCACGCTCTCAGAGGCCTCTGCTCTGGCCCTCTTCCCTGGCCCCATTCCCCTCTTAGGAGCAGCTTCTATCTACTAAGACCAGGTTTGTAGGTTTAAATAAACAAAATAAATACAACCTCCACGGGTCTTTCACATTCTTGGTTGAGAAGTCAGATATGTAACTTAGAACAGGTCACTTAACCTTTCTGGATTTCAGTGTCTTCCTCAATGGACAACATAAGCGTGAAGGCAGCTTAAAAAGTATAAAGCACCCTTCAAGGGTCAGGAATAAATATCAGGCCACTTAACTGTGGGTTCAAATCCCGCCTCCACCTCCCCCTAGCTGGGTGGTCTTAGGCAAGTTACTAAGCTCTTGGTGCCTCAGTTTTCTCATCCTAGGTGCTCCTGTGCCCTATCTCAAAACTCTGGGAGGTGGATTAAATGAGATACTGTGTGCAAACCACCCAGCCCAGGCCCCACAGGTGGCGGAGGTTACTTCTCTATGACTATATGTCCTCGAACCGAAGATTGTAAGATGCACCATTGTTTTACGTTCCACTAAGGAAGAAATGCTGCTGTCAATGGATTGTGGGACACATCTCAGATTTCAGAGATGAGTGTGCCTGAGAATTGATGAAATACTCTATTATTGGGAGGACGAGGAGGGGGCGATAAGAATGTCAATCCCTGTAGCAGTAGCTCTCCACTCGGGATGCATTTTAGAATATGATGCCCAGACTGCATCTCAGTTAAACCCAAACCTCTGGGGTGTGGCCCAGTAATCTCTCTGTGCCTTGGTTTCTCCATCTGCAAAACTGGGTTAATTCTATTATCTACTTCTGGGGCTAATTATTGTTATATTAAATGAGCTAATTCATGCAAGCAATTTAGAACAGTGTCAGGCCCACAGAAATGCTGAAATAAATGTTAACGATTACTCAACTCTGTACCCCAGGTCCTGGCACTCGCTAGGAGCTTCCTAAATGTTGGTTGAATACAGGAGTAAACATTGTCATATGACTGCTGACCTGAGGTCCCCGCCCCCCAACTGGGAGAGGCCCTCTCTGGTCTCTGTCCAGGGGGTAGGGGCCCAAGGAGAGGCTAACCTGCCCAAGGGCCTTCCGTCCAAAGTTCAGGGGAGCCCCACCCTTCCCAGGCACTGCACCCCGCCCCCTGAGGCTGCCGTGGGGTGGGCGCAGCCGAGCCAGACCTGCCAATGCCTGGCAGAGTCAATGACAAGAAGCAAACTTCTCCCCCAGTCTCCACCCCTCCCCTTTCCTGCTTTTCTTATGTTCTTTTCCATAAAGATTAGTCCGTGTTGCTCCTCTATCAAGGCCTGGAGGATAAACATGTTGTCCGGAGGCAGAGAAACCCCAGGCTTGAAGGCCCCGCTGCCCCCACCCCGGCAGCATAAACCCAGGGCTTTTAAGCAAGGAATGGTTTTCAGTAAATCTCTCCTATCAGCAGAAACCTTTGAAAGAGTTTGTTTAAAGGCCAGGGAGATAAACAGCAAGGAGAAGTGTTTGCTTAAGATCTATGTTCTGTGTGGCCAGTCTGGGGCCCGGATTCACATCTAAGGGAGAGGAGCCACTCAGAGAGCAGGGTGGGGGCCTCCCAGGGGCGCCCAGGGCCCCTGGGTGTGGACTCCAGCCCAGGTAGAGACCGACAGGGCAGAGAAGCGAGCTGGACTGCACCTGCAGGTCCCTCCCAGGCTGGGGGCAGGACAGGAGGGGTGAAAGGAGCTGCAGGAAGGGAAGGAGCCCTCCTCACCCTGTTAGGTGGGGAGGGGCTCCCAGAAGGACCTGCTGGTTGGCTGCAGGCAGAAATCCCGGAAGCCAGCTGCCCCGCCCCCCAACTCAAAGTTTAGAGCAGGCCCAGCTCGGGGCCCACCCCAGATGGCCCATACTCCACAGCCCAAAATAAATGAGGACTCGAATCTGGGTATCACCAGCTCTGCGACCTTGGACAAGCCACCTACCCCATAACCAGAGCCCTAGTTCCTCTCTATTGTGAAAATAACACGCCTGCCTCAAAGGGCTTCAGATATGCCTCTCTCCATTTGACAGGCAGGCATTGAGCACCCGCTTTATACCAGACACTGTTCTAAGTGCTTGGGATACAACAATAAACAAAATAATCCAAGTCTCTGCCCTTTTGGAGCCTAAAGAGGAGGGAAACAGACAGTGAGCATCATAATGAGTTAGTTATATACTATGTTGGAAGGTGATGGGAGCTATGGGAAGAAATGGAGCCGGGTACAAGGAATCAGGAAAGGATGGTTAGGTTTGGCCTCACTGAGCAGGTGGCCTTGAAGGAGATGCAGATCTCTGAGGGGAGGGGTCAGGTAGAAACTCAGCCAGGGAAAATGCCTGGGGAATTGAATGAAATGCCCGATGTGAAGCACACGGCACGAGCTCTGGAGCATGGTCCCGTGGTCGGTGGTCGTAAATAATCGCTGTTGTTGTCATTAAAGCAATTACTGAGGGCAGGGGAGCTTTCAGGGAGGAAGCAGGACCTGAGCTGGGTTTCCCCTGGAATTCCTTCACCCTGCCAAGTGGAGAGGAGAGAAGGCATCTCTGGAGCAAGGCATCCTGCAGGTGGGGAGACAGGCAGACCAATGACAGGGCTCACGGTGCCTGAGGGGTCTGGGGGCAAAGGCAGCCAGATTCTCAAGGAAAGCCCTCAGCTGGGACAAGGAGTCTGGGCTCAGATCCTGCCTCTGCCCCTCACCCGCCGGGTCATCTGGAGCAAGTGACTTGCAGCTTCCTGGGTCTTTCTCTCCAGTAAATGGGAATAATATATCCTCCTCTCACTGGATGATTGGGAGGATGAGAGGCGGCATGGTGGGTGCTTGTGCCTGGGACACAGTAGATGCTCAATAAATGCTGGTTGTATTTCGGGCTCTCATTCATCCTTTCATATTCCTTTTTGGTTCTTCCATGGTAAGGTAAGCCAGACAGTGATGGGCCCACCAGGATCCAGAATTGAAGAAGGTGGATCGCTGAGCATTGTTTTCACATAGCTGAAAGGCTGTCACACTGGAGAAAGTTTAGATTTGTTCCTGGGCTCCAAAAGGAAGGTAGGAATTTCAAGGAAACGGATTTTCACTTCACTCGGCAGGAATTTTCCAGTAGTCAGTGCAGTTGGCAATGGAATGGACCTCTTTAGAGTTACTGAGCTCCTGCTGATGGGAGTCCTGTGAGCAGAGGTGCTGAGTTTTGGATGGAGGTTGGGCAAGGGGCCCCCTGCTCTGGGAGGAGTGTGGGCCTGCTGGTTCCGGGAGCCCTCCCAGCTGGGAGATTCGGGGACCTCCTTCCATTGCAGGTTCCACAGTCCATGGAGATCTGCCTACATCCCAGACTTTCTCCACTACCTTGTGAAAACTTGCCTGACCTGTGTCCTTAGGGTTCTGCCATGACAGGCCAGCACATCTGATGGATAAGTCCATGCTAAATTTGGAGTAGTCACAGCACGTTAGTCCTGCCAGGTAACCGAGGGGCAGTTAACAGGGTCTAGGATGTGTTAACGCAAAAGTAAGAGGAATGGAGGAATTTTAGGCACTGTGAGAGATCGAGGGACAGAGATGTTTAGGGAAACATGCTGGAGTAGTTTATCAGATAATTCCTACTACCCTGCATACTCTACCTACAGTAACATTAACTTCAGCTAGGATCACAGCCCACGGCTCAAAGAGTGAAAGGGCTGGAATGCCCGCCTCGACCCGTCCTCAGGAGCCAGCTAAGTACCAGGGGGATCTCTGGGTACCTTCTCCCTGCCCCACAGATGCCTTGCCAAGGAGAACCCGCTTGCCTAGCAGCTGGAAGCCTGCACTTTTCTTTTCAAAGCCTCTGCATCTCCTTTCCCTCCTCCTCCTTCCTTCCCACCCCCCCTCCGAAAGAAGGATGCCCCTTCTGTTGCGTACACAGCCTGTAATTTTGCTGTCAGATCTCCGCCAGGAGGTCAGTGTTGTGACTGACTGTGTAAGGATCGCTCCCTTAAGGGTAATTACACTCAATTCCCCTCTGAAGGACAGCTCTCTCTGGATAGAACACAAGAAAACCCTGCATCCCCCATTCACGGAAATTCATGATTTCCGTGCTTGTCACAGGCACCCTGGCAGCGAGACACTTTGTGGTGCTCCAACTACTCGGAGGCGAGTCTGCAAGGTGGCAGGACTCAGGCAGGAGGAAGGGGTGGTGGTGGATGGTCAAGCAACAAGGGGAGGGGGGATCCAGAGGGGCCACCCTGGGGGGGGAGGTGGACGAGCATCTCCACCCTGAGCTGGCCACGCCCCGAACTGGGAAAGCAGGAAGGTCCCCTGCTGACATCCACCCCAGGAGAGGAAACCCTCCATACTCACTCATACCTTTGTCTAACAGGTTCGCTTTGAGAGCCCATCACCTGCCCTACACTGTCCTAGGCACTGAAGGGAGACCCCGAGATGGGCAGCAGCTCCCTCTGGAAAGAGCTGGGGGGCTCCTGGGCAAAACAAAGTACTTCCACATGAAAGGTGAATTAGTATCCAAGCCCCCCCCTGCCACCATCCCCAGACCCCTTCAGAGGGGCAACAACCTGACCCTTGTCCCCATCCGCCCCAAGGGAAGATGGCAGAAATGGCCAAGACCTTTCAGATGGAGCATCCGCGCCTCAGCAGCCCCTGTACTCGCCCTTCTCCCCACTCCAGGGAGACCCCGGCGAGAGTTGGGGAGTCACTCACCCACGACAAACAGTTAAAAGGAAGAAAGCGGGTCTGGCGATATCAATGCACTTTGATAACAATAAACTCTGCTTTTAATTTATGCTAATGTGTAGGGCTGTGGTGACAGTAAGAACTAAATTACAGAGTGGCTTTCGAGCTGGTAATTATCCCTCCATTTTTCGCTGCTCTGGAAGATGGACACACAATTATGCTCTCTCGCTGTATATTAATACAGATTCTTGACATCTTCAGCAGACCTGGAGCTGTCATCGAGCTTTTTGTCTCCTTTAATTGAAAATTAATGGTTACTGGGTTGCCACGGAAACAGAGGCCACGGACGCCAGTGGCGCTCACGTCTCACCGAGGGACTGGCAGCATCAGGAGTCCGGAATGACCTTGAAAGTTAAAAGAAAAAAAACTTAAAAAAGAAGGCGGGGGGGAATGAGCACAGGGGGGTGGGAGAGTGTGTCAGAGCTGAAAGAGAAGAGAAGTGGGAGAGAGAAGAGAAGAGAAAGGAAGGAAGAGGGAGAGAAAGGAGAGGGAAAGAAAAGACAAAAATTAAAAAGAGAAAATTGCAAGAGGTTGGGAGCACAGAAGCTTGAGAGGGCGAAATTAAATTAGTAAGTTTTACCTCTGGATTTTTGTCTCTTATGTTTTTTGTAAAGATCTGTTGAAAAACTGGGAGCTGGCTCTCAGCTCCAAAATCCATGATTCTACAAATCTGTATGAGGAAGAATGACAGCATCCACCCAGAGACCCCAAGGGGAAGAGACAAAGGCTCCTCCGTGCCATGGGAGGTGGCGGGCAGAGCAGGGGGCAGGACTGAGGTGTGAGGTGTGGGTACTTCCCAGAGGCCAAGCAGGCTGTGCTGTCAGAAGTGGGGGCTGCAGAGGGGGCTTGATCATGGGGACCCCAGGGGAGCTGCCACAACATTGCTCCAGCAGTAATGAGCAGGTGAAAGGGCTCTGCGGCTGGGCCTTCAGCTTGAAGACACAACAAAAGAACTCAAATGAGTCAGAGGTGGGGGCACGAAGGGGGAGGGTCCTGGCAGCGGGGGCAATAGTTGGTTGGCCCAGGAAGATAACAGATAAAGGGAGGCAGTTCAGGGAGCCTCCAGGACGGGCCTCCAGTGGCTCTGGGCTTGGGAATGTTTTTATCCTAAGAGAAGTTGGCAGGTCCAACATAGGGGCACTGGGGACCCCTAAGTGTTCTAGCAGGGAATGTGGGCTCCTTCCTGATCAGCCCACCATTCCACTTCCTCAGGCCTGAGCATAAGCTCCAGAAATGCAGTTCAATTCAACAATTACTGGATGTCCACAGAGAACCAGGAGCAGAGCTAGTGAATCAGACTCAGAGCCTGCCCCAGAAAGCCTGACACTGACTCATTAACACACAATTGCAAAATTATCCGCCCCCTCAGAGATTTCTCTGCAAGGATGTTCATCACAGTATTGTTTATAATAGCAAAAACCTAGAAATAATCTGGATGACCAACAATTGAGGATTGATAAAATGATATGCCTTATGACATACCCAAAAGATGGAGCACTCTACAGTCATTTTAAATTACATCAAGGAAGAATATTTAGTGACCTGGGGGAAAAGTTCACCATATTTTGTTTAATGAAAAACCCAGTTTACAAAATGGTAATGTATTCATGATTCCACGATCCTGTTTCTAAATTTTTCGAGATACTTGTACATTCAGCACGTTATGTTGTAATAAAAAGTTACATATGTGTGTGTGAATGTGTGAGGATATGAATGTGAATGTTTGTGAATGTTCATGAGTATGAGTGTGTATGTGTGTGAATGTGTGTGTGAGTGTGTACTTTAAAAAAGTACAAGTAACATCTTAGCATGGTTGTCTCTGAGTGGTGGGATTATGGCTGAACTTTATCTCCTTTTTTGTGCTTTTCTGTATTTCCCAAATTTTCTACAATAAATATACATAATTTTTATTGACAGGTAAAAAAAGATGGTTTTGAAATTAGCTTCTCCAGAAACTAATCCCCTCGAGAGAAAATTCCCAGCCAGGAGCTCCCCACCAACACACCTCTGCAGAGACTAGGCCCCCTGCCTCAGGTGCTTTCCCCCAAAAATCAGACTCAGCAGACCCTTGCCTCAGTTACCAGTGCCCCATACCAGGCTCTCACTCCCACCCAGACCCTTCCCCACCCCCTGCCTGCAGCCAGGGTGTCCAGAGATGGGGTGAGGGGCTGAGGACCCCCAGGAGGGGCTGAGGGTTGGGCCAGGCTGAGCAGGTCCTGAATATACAGCCCTGGAGGCCAGGAATGATCCCTCCTCAGTTTCTGTGGGAATTTTAATCCCACTTCAGGAACCAGGCAACTGAGGCCCAGAGAGGCTAATCGACTTGTGCCAAGTCACACAGCTGGTGGGTGGCAGAGCTGGAACCTAACCCCACGAACTGTCTGCTTCCAGCTTTGTAGCCTCTGCACCTTTCTCTGCTGTACCTTTCTCGTCCCTCACCAGCTCCAGAGAACCCAGGTGCAACTGGAAGCCGCTCGGAATTGCTTGGATTTCTGGAAAAGCTCCATTCTGGGAAGGTCACCATGATAAACAGCATCTTTTCACCTTGGCAGGGCTGGAGAGAGTAATCATGTGACCCCTAGTTAGAGCAGGAACTTTGGAGAAAGACTGGCCGGGAGTGGGGCTCCAGGGAAATGCATCCTGTCCATCTCTCCCCAGACACCTCCTTAAATCCCTGACCCCCTCGGGCCCCACACTCACCTGGCAAACCGGAGCTCTGTCCCTCACCCCCAGTTCACTCCTTCAGCTCTGCCAAGTCTCAGTCTCCAAAATCAGAGCCCACACTCCCTTCCTCCAGGAAGCTTTCAGACAATTAACTTCATGTTGCCACACTCTGCACCCCTACCCCACCCGATAATAAATAAACGACCTTCATGGCACACGTCCTCTATGGCAAGCCCTACTCCAAGAACTCTTCATGTGTTCACTCCATCTTCTTAACAACCTTATGAGGGGGTGCTACCACTTTCTCCTAATGAGGCATAGAGAGGTTAGCCGACTTGCCCAAAGTCACACAGCAAATGAGTGGCAGAGTCAGAATTCGAACACAGGCAGCCTGAGACTAGAAGCCACACTCTAAATCACCCCACCAGCGACAATGTGAGGGTTTGTGGTTTCACTAGAATTCTGTTGCACTGGATGACCTGGAATTCAGCAGCCCCTCTGGCTGGGGTCCTGTGACAGTTCAACGATTGGGCAGGTCAAGGTGATAGCCTTTCCCCAAATGAGGTACCTTGCATTTATGGGCAAGAGGAAACAGGCTTGTCCCCTATCCAGAGGGTCTATCACATCTGCCACATCAGCCTGGTCAATTCTGTCCTCACTGTCCCTGCCAACACTCAGGACAGGCTCTGCACCTGGGGGAAGTTCACAGGGGCACTGGCATGAGGACAGTCACTGGGTAAGGGTCCCAGGCGAGGGCCCCCATGCCTCTGCCTGCCCTGGGCTGAGCCCTGAGAACCAGAGGAGGCCTGGCATCCTTCCCTCTCCATGGCCCTCCACCCACCGCCTGCCCTTCTCCACTTCTCCCCTGTCCTTCCCCCCACCTCTCTGCCTCGCCCCTGCCCACTTCCCTTCCCGCCCACTTTCCACTTTCCCGGAGGAAGAACAAACAAGAAGACAAACAAACCGAGCAGCAGCAGAGGAGGCTTCGGTAGAGGCGAGGGGAGCGGGGAGCTTGCCTTCACTTCCCCGGCTTCCCTGATCCCGACCCTAATCCCCGCTCAGCATCCTGTCAGCCGGGCTGTTCTCAAGATGACATTGCTGCAGGCGCCTTCTCGGCAGCCCTTCCTCAGATCTGCCTCCTTCGGGACTTCTAAAGAGGAGCCTGAGGTTTCTCTGTTACAGCCGGCTTCACTCGCTGCCCTCAAGCAAAGCCTGGGCTCCCCGGGGGCCGTGGGGGAGAGGGGGCTGCAGGGGGGCAGTGCCAGGCCTGACGTTTCGGAGAAAGAGGGGAGGATGGAGGTGGCTGCACTCCAGAGGCTTCCAGAGTGAGGGTCAGACTCAGGGCAGGAGTCCAGCCAGTGCTCTTCATCTCTTCATACAGGGGAAGCCTTGCTCAGGTGTGCGGGCCTGAGAGGCAGAGGGGAAACTGAGGCTGGAGCCCAAGGAATTCAGGCTGGTGCTAGTTCTGGCTGTGGAGGAATCAGAGGGGTCTGCGGTTTTGAGTCTGCCGGGAGATCACAGCTCAAGGTGGGTTTGGAGAAAGGGGCAGCTGGGGCCCACACCGAGTGTTTATAAGACCCACTTATACACGTTAATCAGTTGACTTCCTGAACACCTACTGGGTGCTGGGTGCTGGGAGAGAAAGAGAAACGGCAGCCTGGTGAAAGGGATGAGGGAGAGCTTGGCATGAGACAGGTCCCGATCCCACCCCAGCTCCACAACGTAGTAGCTATGTGGCCTCAGGCCAGTCACTTGGCTTTTCTGAGTCCCATTTTTTTCACCTACAAGGTAGTGTGTGTGTGTGTGTGTGTGTGTGTGTGCGCGCGCGCGCGTGCACGCGTGAGGGGTGGGGTGGGGGTGGGAGGGTTATAATAAAAGCTTCCTTGCAGGATCAATGTGAAGTTCAGAGACATGTGCAGAGCACCTGGGGTTTAGGATGATTTTTACTATACAGGTCACCATCCACAGGGGACATTAGAGCCCAGAGTTTTGTCTGGGTCTTCATGAAGGGAGCTCTCCATGCAGGGGAGTCACTTGAGAGCATGTGTGCAGATGAGCATCTCGGGGGAGGAGGTTTGGGCAGGGCTCCTGGGACATTGCTGAGTCCCTGTGTTTGAAATCAAGCTCGGCCCACAGCCAGAAGGAACGTCCAGGGCAGTGGGCTCTGGCCAGCCCTGCCCCTCCCTCCACACTCCCACCCTCCCGCTTGTGACACACTCATCCTGCCAAGGGGACAGGGATGCAGGAGGCTCCTGGAAACCCAGGAAGGGGTGCTCCTCAAGCTCCCTCACATGGCCCCTCTCTCCTGGGACCACCTCAGAGCCACAAGTGCTCCCTGTACTAAACTGGAAGGCGGTACCCAGGACCCCAGGAGCTCAGCTTCCTGTCCTGGGCATTTGCCTTCAGGCAGAGAGCTCTGAGACCCGGACACAGGCTGGGTGGGATTTGTTTGAGTCCAGAGAGTCCCAAAGGCAAGAGGCTGGGGGTGTAGCAGAGAGGCTGCCTCTGCATCCCACATTTCCGTTCCACAGGTTGGGAGAGGGAGTTCTGGAGAGAGGGCTGTGATCAGGTTCTGAATTTGGTTACTCGATCTCAATACGATTCCTCCCCGGAGCAATTCCAAGAGCACTGGCTCTTACCATTGCTGGGATTTATACAGCTTCGTGGCCTTAGACAAGTC